AAGAAGGATGCCGGCAAGATCAAAAGAACACATAGGCATTACAAAATCTGTGAAATATTGCCACATAAGGTGCTGCTGAAGACCGAGGGTTAGTTGGAACGCTATATCATTCGTCAGTCAAGATGGAACATGGCGGTCGACACTCGGGCAGTGCAGGACTACGCCCGAGAACTCTACCAATCAGTGGCAAGAAAAATGGGAGTTTCCACTGGGTGGCTGCAAGGTTTCTAACGACGCAACAAGATCACCAATATTGAGATACTCGGAGGAAGGCAAGTGCCGACCGGGCTGCCGCCATGAATTTTCCCCCATTTTTACGGAAAATTATGGAGGAAGGACAGTACACCGACCACCAAGTGTTCAATATGGATGAATCAGAGTTGTACTGGAAGAAATTGCCATCCAAAACCTTCATAGTCAAGTCTGTGAGCAAGTGTCGGGGGCGAAAAATGCAGGAGTGCATCACCATACTGTTCACCACCAATGCCTCTAGCACTGCTAAGCTGAAGTTGTCTGTGATCCACAAAGCCCGCAAGCTGCATGCATGCAAGAATATGGACATGAGCAAGTTAAATGTCCACTGGCTAACCTCAGGGAAGGCGTGGATGTTCACTGGTCTGTCCCTCTCCTGGTTTGACAACTGTTTCGTTCCTGATGTAGAGAAATTCTGCACGCAAAATAATGTTCCATTCAACATTTTGTTGCTCCTCGATAACGCACCAGGACACTCGCCCCAATTGCTGGATCGTCACCACAACGTAAAAGTAGTCTTCCTTCCTGCTAACACTTCGTCGTTAATCCAGCCCATGGATCAGGAGTTGATTTGCAACGTGAAGACTGCTTTCTCCGCCAAGAAGTTTCGGCTCCTGAACGCACCAACACCAAGGATGAATTGCAGAACTTAGAGAGTGGCACCGATAGCGAGAGCGAGGACGACGATCTGAACAAGATTTGGCTGACAATGAAGTGCGGAGTCAAGCAGTTTTGGAAACTGTTTAACGTGAAGCTGTTGATTTCTTGGTGGAGGCATGGGGGCAGCTATCTGTGGCAACGATTTGTCACGTGTGGCGTCATGTATTGGAGGGTATCTCAGGTGAGAGGCAGAGGCAAGCGGTGGCTGGAGAGGCTCAGTCTGTTGCTGTGGCATTGGAGAATGCAAGAGAGGCTGCACAAAGTGTTAGAGCTGCAGGCTTCTCCGACACCACCAACGAGGACATCCTGGAGGTAATCAGGCAACCTGAGGTGACTGCGGACGAGATGTTGGAAGATGATGACGTCAGTGAGCAGCCAGGTGTTACAGAAGAACAAGAGCAGAAACTAATACATGGTGATGTGAAGGAAATCATCGAGGCAGCTGAGAGATTGAAGCTCCTCGCCAAAGACCCAGTCAAGCTGTATCACGACCACGTCACTATACGTCAACAAAACATTACCGAGTTCTTCACGCCACCCACCACAGCCAGCCCAAGTCACTGATAGTGATAGTGAGGATATGGACTTTGAGGGATTTGACAAGAAGGCCACGCTAGCCTCTGTGGTGGATAGTGATACAGGTGATACAGGTGAGGCCAATAATCTGCCCTCTGCCTCGGAACCAACCCCCATCCCCGTGCCCAGCCATCTCTTCTACTAACGTAAGTGTTAAAAAACCTAATATTATTGATATTTCTCTTAAATATTAATTGTGTGTGCATACCATCATAAAAGTAAGATGTTATTTTTACTACAACGTATGTGTTGTGTCGGAAAAAGGGTAGTCTGGTGGTCTGCCCAGTCTCTATTTCAATTAATCCCATATGTTCTGTTATTTTATTTACGTGTTTCGCTTTATACGCGGGTCTCCATGGGTTTAATTAACTGCGTAAACCCAGACTATACTGAAAAAAAAAAAAATAATATATATATATATATATATATATATATATATATATATATATATATATAGAGGAAGGATGGCCAGGTGGATGGATGGTCAGGTATGCAGGAGGGATGGCCAAGTATGCAGAAGGATGGCCAGGTATGCAGGAAGGATGGCCAGGCACTCTGGTGGTTATTGTACTTACCTGTTGAA